TTTAGATGTGGTCTGGCTTATGCTGAGTAGAGTGTGAAAGTTTATCTACCTTGTTCTTGATCATGCTGCTTAAGATCACGTTGGTTCTTTAGGCAGACACATTTCATACTTATTTATTCATTTGTATTAATAATATAGTTAAGAGAAATTCCCAAGTTTTTTTCCCCCTATGCACCTTAATGTTGCAATCCTCTCCATGCTACCCTGATGCAGTGGCTTTTACATTTACCCCCTTAAAGTTTCATCTTCTTAGATTTGTCCCACCATTCTAGATGGTTGACCTCTTTTTTGGACCCCAATCCTGCAATATATTAACTAACCTTTCCATCTACTAATTGGATACCATGCCATATTTTTCTTTATTTGATCCCAATATTCCCTCAAGTTATCATTTTTTGTCTATCCTTTCACAAAGGCCTAGAAGAAGCCCTCTTTCCTTGTTCATATGCTTCCTCTCTTCCTCTTAACTTCTTAACCCCTTATAATGGGGTTTACAATCCTAACACTCATTTGAAATTTTTCTCTCCAAGGTCACTGATTATCTCTCATTTGCTAGATCTTATGACCTTTATTCATTTCTCATCCTTGCTGCAGCTTTTGACACTGTGTGGGCTACCCCCATCTTTGGGATATTCTCTCTTCCCTCAGTTTTCATGACACTGACCTCTCCTGGTTCTCTTCCTGTATCTCTGTTCACTCCCTAGTCTCCACTGATGGATCCTCATCTATGTCCTTCACTTAGTGCCTGAGCATAGTTCAGGGCTCTGTCCTGGGCCATTTTATCTTATTTCTGTACCTTCTTTCTTGGTGAGGTTATCAGCTCCCATGGGTCCAATCTTCATTTTTAAGCAGATGACTCCCAAATTTCCCTATCAAATCCTTATCTCACCCCTGAACTCCAGAACCATATCTGCAATGGCCAGTTGCTCATCTCTCCTTGAAAGTGCCATAGGTATCTCACATTTAACATGTTCAAAGCAGAACTCATTCTATTTCCACCCAAATCCATTCCTCTTCTTACTATACCTATTTCTATTGAATGAGTACCATCCATTCAGGCAATCAGATGTTCAACCTGGGACTCATCATTGCATCTTCTTTCTCTCTATATCTCTCACATATCTAAATGGTTAACAAGTCTTTTCAATTCTACTTCCAAGATATTTCTATCATTCTTTCTCTTTGTTCATATAGTCATTATCCCAATATAGGCTCTCATCACCTCGTATCTGGACTATTATATTGTTTTTCAGTCATGTCTGACTCTTTGTGATCCTATTTGGAGTTTTCTTGCAAAGATACTAGAGTGGTTTGCCATTTCCTTCTTCAGATTATTTTATAGATGAGGAATTGAGGCAAACAGGGTTAAGTGACTTGTCCAGGATCACACAGCCAGAAAGGATCTGAGGCCAGATTTGAATTCAAGAAGATAAATCTTCCTGTGTCCAGGCCTAGCGCTCTATGTACTGTGCCACCTATTACAATAATTTCCTACTTAGACTCCTGGTCTCTAGCCTCTCTACAATCCATCCTAGTCTAAACAGTTGACATAATGATACACCTAAAGCAGAGGTCATTCTTAAACGTGTTTCTTGTAAACAACATATTGTTGGATTCTGATTTTTAATTCATTCTGCTATCTATTTCCATTTTATGGGAGAGTTCTTCCCATTCACACTCAAAGTTATAATTACAATTACTGATCATAGCAATCTCCTACTTCAATGCCTTCTCTTTGCCTATAGGATAGAGTAAAACTACTTTGTCAGTTTTTAAAGCCTTTTATAGTCTGGGTTCAACCTATCCTGATAGACTTATCTCAGATTAATCTCCCTCATGTACTTTATGTTTTTGTTCAATTTGTTCCCTGTACATGATATTCCAAATTCTTTTTCCATGTTTTTGCACAAGCTGTTCCCAAGTTTGGGATGCTGGTCCTTCTTAGTTCAAGTGTCTTCTCCTACAGGAGGCCTTTGCCATCAGGGAGCCTACCAAAAATTTCTTTTCATTTATTTTGTAAATGTGTTATATTTACTTGAATCCTTCTTATTTCCCTTTCAATAGAATATAAGCTCCTTGAGGGAAGAAACTTTTCCATTTTTATATTTGTATCCCCAGTGCCTAGCATGATGTCCAGTACATAGTAGGTGCTTAATAAATGATTGTTACATTCAATTATTTAATTCATTCAATTACTTGCTGAAAAATGGTGAGACTGACAGGGCCAAAGGCAGAGTCCAGAAGCATTCTGCTAGGGATCACTCCCAAGGTGACAGAACCCATTAATCAGTGTTCCTTGACTATGGTTTTCAGCTAGCTATGGAGTTACCTAATTGTACTGCCACCCAGCCCACATCTTTTCCATCTTGTCCAGTCACAAGAAGGTTTTCAAATGTCTCACAGGAATCAAGAGATATCATATTGACATCTTCCCAATTTACTAGTCTAGTAATCCTATCACAAAAAGAAATGAAATGAGGTTGGATTGGCAATTCTAGATAAAAATGGCTTCACCTCTGATAATTGTTCAACTGTGTGACCCTGGGGATGCTTCTCTACCTCTCCAGGCCTCAGTTTCCTTCTCTTTAAAATAAATGAATGGTTAGATTACCCATAAGATTAATTTCAATCCTAAACTTCTGACGGCTATAAATGAATTAGAACTACTGGAGGTATTTATGCCCAAATAGTCCTCAAGCAGGGAACAATTTGTATAGTAAAAAGAATAAAGGTGGATTTGGGGTCAGGGGAACTGAGTTTCTATCATGGCTTTGCCTCCTTACTATCCATGTAACGTCAACCCAGTTACTTAACCTCCCAAAGCCTCAGTTTTCTCATCTGTGAAAGAGATAGTTGAAGTAGATGGCCTCTGAGTTCCCTTTCAACAACCAAATCTATGATCCTATGACCTCTAAGACTCCTGATAGCTCTAAACTGATGACTTTATATTTAGAATTTCAACATTGTATGATTATATCATATCTGGATATATCATAATATAGATGTTGTTATTGTTAATTAGAATTGTAATTGTTCCAAATGTAGCTCATTATACTCCCTCCAAACTCATCTCTCTTTCAAAATATATCATTTCTATTGATGGCACCATTAATCTTGCAGTCAAATGGTTCAGGACCTTGGAATCAACTTAACTCTTCATTCTCCCTCACAGCTCATATCTCCAGCATTTTTTAAGTCTTGCCTATTCTTCCTCCACATTTCCTGCATCTATCTTTTTCTCTTCCCTAGTCCAGATCCTCATCAGCTTCCAGTTTCTCCCATCTCCAGTCCATCCTCCACTCAACTCTCAAAATAATCTTCCTCAAGCATTAATTCTGATCATGTTGCTGTCTTGCTCAAAAACATGCAATGGCTCCCTATTGCCTCTAGGAATAAAATAAAACTTTTCAGTTTGGTATCTAATATTCATCACAGTCTAGCTGATCTTTCTGGACTTATTTCTATTATCTCCTTCATGTAAGCTCAATTCCAGCCAAACTAGTCTATTCTTTTATCCTGAACTCAGTTTTCCATCCCCCAATTCTGTGCCTTTGCTCAGAAGGCAACCTCCCAGGTCCCAAATATTCTTTCTCCACATCTCTTAGACCTCTTAGATTTCTTCACATGTTGGGCCAGATCCCAGGCCTTTCGTGCTCCCCTCTCTGTTTTTGTTTTCTCCCTTCTCAAAATTATCTTGTATTTACTTACACTAGTTACTTTTCTGTCCAGGTAATTGCCTCAGTGCTCAATTATTGAATATTTTACTTGAAAGGTCATAGCAAGTATTTCAACTGTGTTTAAAGCAAACCAATATAAAATCAATCTGTTACTTTGGATTATATGTGAATATGAGGCATCAATTGTAGGAGAGCTGCATTTTTAAACCTAGGGCTGATAATTATTGCAGTTTGTCAATCTTATCTGTCTCTAGGGTTTTTCCTTGTCCCACTTTGTAAGAAAGAATGATTAAAGCAAACTTTTTAAAAAAAAATCCAATCTAAAATGCAATAAAGTAAGAATTCCTATATGTAAAGCACTTTCTAATTTACCTACTGCTTCTTATGTCAGCTCTGAGGGGGTGGGCAGTGAAATTACTATCACACCCTTTTATAGGTGATAAAACTGAGGCTCTGGATTCAGTCACTTGCCAGAAGGCACATGTAGCTAATGTGTCAGAATTAGGATTAGAACTCAGGTCTTTTGATTCCAAGTCCAGGGCCAGGCCCACTACCCTTCAATTGTTTCTCAAATATTATATAAATATAGTTTAACTATTTTAATATTCAGAGAAAGAGGCATTGAGAGCATAGTTCTAGATAGCTAGGTAGCATATAAGATTCCTGGACCTGGAGTCAGGAAGATCTAAGTTCAAATCTTCCCTTAGACACTAGGAGCTGTGTCACTTTGGCCAAGACATTTCTCTTTGCCTCAGTTCCTTCAGCTCCGAAATGGGGATAATGGTACCCACCTCGAATGGTTGTTATTAAGATCAAATGAGATAATAGTTTTTAAAGCCCTAGAGGCTGGTTATACAAATGCTAATTATTAGTATTGTTATCATGGGCAAATGAGATATTTACAATATTTAGATTAAAAATACATTTAAGAACTTAATAGGGAGGGGATCTTTTAAGACTCAAGAAGACGTCCCAAGAATGGTTGCTTTGAACATGGAAAAAAGAATGAAAAGAGTGGAAGGAAGAGGATATTCAGCCTGAGGTGGGTCTGACCCACGTGGGTTTCTGGATTTCCTTATTCCGAGGACAAGTGCAGCCGGGACGATGTCAGAGTTCATGCCCCCAGCTCCGATTCCTGATGACTAGACCTGAAGCGGTTGAATCCAGGGGCTCAGGCTCCTCCCTTCCCTTTCCCTCATTCCATACATTCTAACACTGACCTTCCCCCTTCCTCCAGTTGGTGGAACAAAGTCATCCAGAGAAGCATTGAATCATCTCAGCCTGTGGCACGGGATGCCCACTCACTGTAAGAAGTTGACTTACCTGGGAGGGAGGTCAGAACCATGGAGGAAAGGAGAGGATTTGTCTGGTTTTCCTTTGAGCATGGCAGGGAGTTCTCTTCCTGACAGATGTCCCTCCACAGCCTTATAAAGTCCAAGAAGCTGTTAATTATTACTCTAACTCTTAACAAGCTGGGGCGTGTTGGAAACCTGAGACACTCCCCGTGGCTCAGTGCATGTTGGGAGTGTTTATTTTCCTCGAGAGGAGCAGCTGATAGAAACACTCCCAACCACACACCTGTAGAAGAGGTAAATTGACTCTCCGGTTAACGCTTTAGCGACTGCCTGCGAGCCGATTCTCCTGTCTTAACTGGATTCTCCCTGGGCTCCATACATCCCCTCTATGAGCGACAGGAGACCACACTGATGTAACGTTTCAAGATCTCCTCCCAATAATCCTATGGCACAGGCAGTACCAGTGTTCTTGGCTCTATTTTGCATTACTTGAAACAGACTCAGAGGTGAAGTGATTTCCTTATAGTCACACAGCCTGGAGGGCATGGAATTCAAAAGCAGGTTTTCTGATTCCAAGCCTGGTGCCCTTTCCGCTCTAACATTTATTAATAAGTGACATTGATTGGGGCTGAAAATAATTCTTCACGATGCCTTTTATTTCTCCATACATTTGAATGAGCTTGATTTGAACCCCTTCCTGCTGCCCAGCAGATGTTATAAGAGGGAGGAAGAAAAGGGCCACAGCATGTGATTCAGTTGAGAGAAACAGCTATCATTTACCCGCCACAGTTTCTCTAACTACAAAAGGAGCATCAGAGAAGGTTTGAGATCCGGAGATGGCAAGTGCTACTCAGTATAGTATTAATTTTTTTTCCTGGACCTTCCATTTCATTTTCCAGTGCTCATCACAATGTCTGCCACATAAATAGGTTGTGTAATAAATCGACTGACTGAAGAGATGAGGAACTCCTGGTGTCAAAACTTCATCCTTTCCCCCACCCTTCTTTGGAGAAAATGTGAATCTCATCAAATTAGCAACTTCCTCCATAAAGCAGGGTAGATAAGATTTTTTCTACCATAGGCTATTTTACAAAAGTATTCTTGACACTCTTGCAAAGAGTTCGATTTCTTCACATGATTGATCAGCCAAAGTTGTGTCTTGGTGCCAGTGGAGTTCACATGCCACAGGAAGAGAGTGGTTGAGACTTTAGCTTTGTGTAATAATAATGATTATAGCTTAAACTTATATAGGTCTTAACATCAACAAAACCCCACAACAACCCTCAGAGGTGAATGAAACCAGTATTGTTATACATATTTTAAAAATGAAAAAACTGAGGAGCATTGTAGTCAAATAGCTATACTTCACATAACTAGTAAGTTTCAGAATCAGAATTCGAACTCAGGCCTATCAACTCTAAATTCAATATTCTTTTCACTGTGATTACAGCATAACTAGTAGTGAAAGGAACATTCAACCAAACTATGCCTGTCTATTTTTATTTAAGGTAGTATTTACATAGCACTTTGAGGTCTACAAAGTCCTTTGCAGATATCACATTTTATGCTAACAGCTCCGTGAGGTGGATGCTATCGTCCTCATTTTACGGATGTGGAAGCTAAGGCAGAAAGAGGTTAAGTGACTTGCCTAGGTCACACAGCTAGTAAGTACCTAAGGCTAGATTTAACTCAGATCTCCTTGACTCCAGGTTCAGTTTTCTAACCACAGCTTTACCTAGCTACTTATCTGGTTGTGGGGTCCTGGATATACCAGTTTCATTATTTATAGGGATGATTTAAAGCTGAATTATTCTGATGAACTCAGTGAGTCATATCCTATTGAACAGAAGCCTTAGAAACCTATGTACAGCCGCTATGACAGTGGCATAATTCATTGACATGTGAATATAATTGAAAAGTTTGATATACTGCTCACAGTTTCCTTTGGCCTGGATAGGCTGACCTTTGAATGCAATGTTTGCAGACTCTGAATCACCAGGACGTCTTTGTTCAAGCCAGATCCTTCATCTTCTGTAGTCTACTGTTATCATTTCTCCACTATCAGGAGTTGGGCAATACTCCTTTGAAATACACTTCTTCAGATATCCTTGGAACATGTCTTCTGATCATCTAGTTTCCAGGTGGCTTTCCTTAGCTTACTGCGCAGAACATGGCTTTGGCTACTTGTGTCTTCCTATTCAGATTCCATGATTAGACAGTCCCTCCCAATAGGGATTCATTGGCAATGACTTGGAGTCAAAGACAGTGACAGCAAGATTGCCCCTAACAGCAGACTTAGGAGCAAACAAAAGAAAAAAAAATGAATCCGGATCTCAGGTCCATCATGGAGTCCTAAAAGTGAGAGAGTCTCTCTTATTCGGAGAGGTAACAAGCAACCTTTGTTTCAATATGATCACAGATTTCCTGAGTAGAGAAAGAGAGGGAACCTCCTAGAATGTAATGTTTATTTCTAATTTGTCCTGGATATATCTTGTCTGCACAGTTGCAAGAAATGACTAAAAGGAGGGAGCAGGAAGGGGAAGGGAAATCAGGGTGGTCTGTCATCAGCTTAATCCAGGTAGCACAAACTGGGAAATTGACAGCTGACATTTCCTTCCACAAGAGGGTTGAAATAATAGATAATAGAAAGTTGACAAACATTAACTTAACCAGCCCTAGTGACTCAGCCACTATTGCCAATTAATTTCATCTCCTAAATAAGGTTATTTTAGGCATGTAGGCTGGGGAAACTGAAGAGGGAAATGAGAAACCTTAAACAGCATAGTGGGACCTAGAGTTAAAAGTCAAATCTGGAAGTTGCTACACAGAGGAAGCCAGGCATTCATGGGAGAGGCAATGTGAGGGACACATAAAGCATAACTGTGAAATTGTCATAAACAGAGAATTTTTTTGACCTTAAAGTACTTCACTTTTCCTTAACACTAAATGGCCAAATTTTCCCTCTGGGGAATATCCAAAAGTCTATTTTAGACTAGAACAGTGAGTTCTGATGGACTCTTGAGATAAAGGGACAGTTACTTAACACATTGTTTACTTCCCATGAAGAAAGGGATTTAAAGATTCCTCCCTCCCTGCCCCCATCAAATAAATGATAAGACAAGTAGAAAGTTTCTCATCTAAAATATTCTCAAAAAACTATTGATAGGATCAGTGCTGGTGCTGATAATGATAGAGGTCACCCCTCCCCCCATTCAATAAATTCTATTGGCTCCTTATTATCTCCAGGATCAAATATAAACTCTGTCCTCAGACATTTACTAGCTCTGTGACTCCAGGCAAGTCACTTAACTCTGCCTCAGTTTCCTCAACTATAAAATAAGGATGATAATAACACCTACCTCCCAGACTTGTTGTGAGGATCAAATGACATAATACGTGTAAAGTACTTTCCACAATGCCTGGTACATAGTACATGCTGAATCAATTCTTGTATCCTTTCCTTCCCTTCTCCTCCTTCCTCCATCCCTTCCTCCTTTCTTCCTTTTCTCTGTCTTTTCCTCCTTCCTTCTTTCCCTCCCTTCCTTTCTTCCTTCCCTCTTTCCTCCCTTCCTCCCTTCCTTCCTTTTTTCCTCCTTTTTTCCTCCTTTCCTCCCTCTCTTCCTTCTTTTCTCAATTCTCTCCTCTTTTCCTTCCTTCCTCTCTCCCTCTTTTCCTCTTTCCCTCCTTTCCTCCTTCCCTTTCTTCCATCCTTCTTTTATCCTTCCTTCCTCTGTTCTTTCCTTCCTTCCTTCCTTCCTTCCTTCCTTCCTTCCTTTCTTTCTTTCTTTCTTTCTTTCTTTCTTTCTTTCTTTCTTTCTTTCTTTCTTTCTTTCTTTCTTTTTTCTTCCTTCCTTCCTTCCTTCCCTTTTTCCTTCTTTCCTATTCCTTGCTATTTCTTGCACAAGACACTCCATCTCCCGACTCTGGGCATTTTCACTGGCGGTTTCCCATTCTTTCCTCCTCATCTCTACCTCCTGGTTTCCTTCATGTCCTAGCTAAAATCTCATCTTTGACAGGAAGGTTTTCCCAATCCCTCTTTATGATAGTGCTTTCCCTCTGTTGATTATTTCTAATTTATCCTAGATGTAGCTTGTTTGTCCATAGTTCTTTGCATGGTATGTCCTTCAATTAGACTGAGTTCCTTGAGAGCAGAGACTGCTTTTTGCCTTTCTTTGGGTTCCCAGGACTTAGAACATAGAAGGCACTTAGTAAATATTTGATGACTTGATAGAAATGACCTCATTCTGCCTCTATGACAGCCCTGTGATTGTACAGTATGGATATTCCCATGCAGATGATCTGCATCCCCATGTTCCCATCTTGTTCTACTCTCTTTAATGACCTCCTACAATTTCTCCAGAGGAGCTATCCAACACCCTAGGGGCCTTCCTCTAAGTCTTTGAACACTTTGAAGCAGGTGGGCTGTCCCTAGGTTATCTCTTGCCCCAGCTGCATGGTCAGCCCACCTCCTTTTCCTCTCATAAATCTCTCTGATGATATATGTTACACTTTTGTGTAGTTCTTCCTGGGTAACATTGTGGCCTATTCACTCCGCCATTTGTATCTCCATTGCCTTTTGGGTAAATGAACCTTTAAACCATTGGGGGCTGTGGGATGCCATGATTTGTAGTCATACAGTATCACCGAAGAAAAACTGATGATAGAATATTGATGGGGATTTGTTTCAGAGAGAAGCTTAATATCATTAATTCATTCACTGAACAAGCATTTATTATGGACCTACTATGTATTGAGGATACAAAGACAAAATGAAGCAGGAGTTTTCCTTAAAGGGCTTGAATTCTATGGGGGAGGGGGAGGGAAAAATGTCATTCAATCAGTCATAAAAGAAACATTATTACACAAGGATAAATTGTATTGAAACATAATTATGAAAACACACATATAAACATAATTATGAATACACAGCTAGATAGCCCTGTGGGTAGAGTGCTGGGCCTGGAGTCAGTAAGACTCATCTTCCTGAGTTCAAATCTGGGGTCAGACACTTCCCATTTGAGGGACCCTGGGCAAGTCACTTAACCCTCTTTGCCTCAGTTTTCTCATCTATCAAATGAGCTGGAGAAGGCAATGGAAAACCACTCCAATATTTTTGCCAAGAATATCCCAAATGGGGG